ATCGTCACTGTCACGGCAATCAAGGATGCTATCGAAGACTACCGTCGCACCATTCTTGACATCGAGCTCAACAACGCCCCCGTACACCGCTTGCGCGGCTGGAACAACGTCAACGTCGAGGAGGATAACATTTCCCTGTGGAGGCGCACTAAGAAGGCCACCAGTCGCTTCTCTGGCCTTGTTTGGCATACAATCGAAAGCATCTGGTCCCCGAAGGCTAGGAAAGAATTGGCAATTCGCAAAAACCCAGAATCGTACGCCGATGCGCCGCGACCCTCGGTTGAAACCCACATTCCCCGAGATTCTATGAATCAACCCCGATCCAATCGAGACTCGTTTGTGTCCGCCCGAGAGGATATTCAGATGACGCCAGTTCCTTCTCCGCTTCCCCGACAGACTCTCGAGGTTCCGCAAGAAGACGACCACAAGCGCGCCGTACAGTTGATGCAACGTCAAGGGGACGTGCTAAACCGCAGCCTACCGGTTAACGGTGATGCCCGCTTCCACAAGGATCACTGGAAAGACTTGAGAGTTGGCGATTTTGTGCGAATTTACAACGACGACGAGCTGCCAGCTGACATTATTGTACTGTCCACATCTGACCCAGATGGCGCCTGCTACGTTGAAACCAAGAACTTGGACGGCGAGACGAATTTGAAGGTCAGACAAGCACTGAGATGTGGTAGATCACTGAAGCATGCGAGGGACTGCGAGCGAGCCCAGTTCTGGATCGAGAGTGAGCCGCCGCAGCCCAATCTTTACAAGTATAATGGTGCCATTCGGTGGCACCAAAAATTCGAAGACTCCCACGAGCCCGACTTGATGACTGAGGCTATTACGATTGACAACATGCTACTCCGTGGCTGCAATCTGAGGAACACGGAATGGGCCCTTGGAGTCGTCGTCTTCACGGGACATGACACCAAAATCATGATCAACTCTGGCATCACGCCCAGTAAGCGTCCCAGAATCGCCCGGGAAATGAACTTCAACGTCATTTACAACTTTGGTATTCTCTTCATCTTGTGTGTCTTAACTGGCATCGTCAACGGCGTCGCATGGGCGAAGACGGACGCATCTTTACATTTCTTCGACTTTGGATCCATTGGAGGAACGGCACCCATGTCCGGCTTCATCACATTCTGGGCCGCTCTCATCGTGTTCCAGAACTTGATTCCCATTGCTCTCTACATCACTCTCGAAATTGTCCGCCTACTGCAGGCAATTTTTATCTACAGCGACGTTGAGATGTATTACGAACCCCTCGACCAACCCTGTATCCCGAAGTCATGGAACATTTCCGACGACCTTGGCCAGATCGAATACATCTTCTCCGACAAGACCGGAACATTGACGCAAAACGTAATGGAGTTCAAGAAAGCAACTATCAACGGACAGCCGTACGGCGAAGCATACACTGAAGCTCAAGCTGGCATGCAGAAACGCCTTGGTGTCGACGTAGAGAAGGAGGCTGCCGAAGCTAGAGCCGGAATTGCGGATGCCAAAATACGCGCGATCGACAGTCTCAGGAACCTGCACGACAACCCTTACCTGCATGACTCCGATCTGACCTTTATTGCGCCTGACTATGTTTCTGACTTGGCGGGTGATTCTGGTGATGATCAGCAAGCGGCGAATGAGCACTTTATGCTCTGTCTCGCCCTGTGCCACACTGTCATCGCCGAGAAGATACCCGGATCACCGCCAAAGATGCTTTTCAAGGCGCAATCACCCGACGAAGCGGCGCTTGTCGCAACAGCCCGCGACATGGGCTTCACGGTGCTCGGCAGCTCTCAGGAGGGCATCAACTTGAATGTGATGGGCGAGGATCGATTCTATCCGATATTGAACACGATCGAATTCAACTCGAGCAGAAAGCGTATGAGTGCAATCGTCCGGATGCCTGACAACCGTATTCTTCTCATCTGCAAGGGAGCGGACAGTATCATCTACTCGCGTCTGAGGCGGGGCGAGCAGCAAGAGCTTCGCAAGCTTACAGCAGAGCACTTGGAGATGTTTGCCCGGGAAGGTTTGAGAACGCTCTGTATTGCGCAGCGAGAGCTCACCGAGGACCAATACGCCAACTGGCGCAAGGAGTACGACGCTGCCGCAGCGGCTCTTGAGAACCGAGAAGAGAAGATGGAGGAGGTCGCGGATCACCTCGAGCGAGAATTGACACTACTTGGAGGCACTGCTATCGAAGACAGACTGCAAGACGGCGTTCCCGACACCATCGCTCTGCTGGGTGACGCTGGAATCAAGCTTTGGGTTCTCACTGGCGACAAGGTCGAGACTGCTATCAACATTGGTTTCTCTTGCAACCTTCTGAACAACGACATGGAACTTATCCACCTGAAGGTTGACGAAGACGAGACTGGCGAGACACCTGACGAACATTTCCTCAACGTCCTGGAGCAGGAGCTCGACAAGTACCTACAGGACTTCGGCATGAAGGGCGACGACGAAGATTTGGCCAAGGCAAGGAAGAACCACGAACCACCTGGCCCGACCCACGGCCTGGTCATTGACGGCTTCTCTCTCAAGTGGGTTCTTCACGATGCCTTGAAGCAAAAGTTCTTGCTTCTCTGTAAGCAGTGCAAGTCGGTTCTTTGCTGCCGAGTCAGTCCTGCTCAGAAGGCTGCTGTGGTCAACATGGTGAAGAACGGTCTGGATGTCATGACTCTCTCCATTGGAGATGGCGCCAACGATGTTGCCATGATTCAAGAGGCAGATGTCGGCGTTGGTATCGCTGGTGAGGAAGGCCGACAAGCCGTCATGTCTTCAGACTATGCGATCGCCCAGTTCCGCTTCTTGTCACGGCTGGTACTCGTACACGGTCGGTGGTCATACCGTCGTCTCGCCGAGACGGTGGCCAACTTCTTCTACAAGAACGTGGTGTGGGTGTTTGGTATCTTCTGGTACCAAATTTATTGCGACTTCGACGTTACGTACATTTTCGAGTACACGTACATCTTACTGTTCAACCTCCTTTTTACTTCGGTTCCGGTAGTCGTCCTTGGTGTTCTTGACCAGGACGTTTCGGACAAGGTCTCCCTGGCTGTACCGCAGCTCTACCGCCGTGGTATCGAACGGGCGGAATGGACGCAGACCAAATTCTGGTACGTATGGTCACAGCAGTGGCCTTGATGCGATGCTAACTAGGTTCCAGGCTCTACATGCTTGACGGTGTCTACCAATCCGTCATGGTTTTCTACATTCCATACTTGACAGTGAGCAGCACGAGCTTCGTGACGAAGAACGGTTTGAACATTGAAGACCGAACGCGACTTGGCGCATACATTGTACACCCTGCCGTCTTCGTCATCAACGCGTATATCCTCATCAACACATACCGTTGGGACTGGATCATGATCTTGATTGTTGTCCTGAGTGACGTTATGATCTTCATCGTTACCGGCATTTATACGGCTACAGAAGGGTCAATGTTCTATTACCAAGCCGCCCCGCAGGTCTACGCACAAGCATCGTTTTGGGCAGTCTTTTTCATCGTCCCGGTGATTTGTCTCTTCCCACGATTCGCGATCAAGGCGATTCAGAAGGTCTACTTCCCATACGACGTCGACATCATCCGCGAGCAAGAGCGGCAAGGAAAATTCTCTCGTCTCACACAGGGCGACGACGCGACGGTTATGGGGGAGCAGACGGCGAGTAAGACCCCGTCGAACTCGTCGGTCAGCTCGCGCAAGGGTAAGCATATACACTATGCCAGTGTGGATGAGGACAGAAGGCCAATCTATCCACCTTCAGTTGCAACACACACGACGCACAACCCGCGCAGCCAAAACGGCAGCGATGGCACCAACTATACGGGCCACCGGCAATCGATGGATATGATGCAAACGCAGTCCCTCGACATGACGCCTCCGATGCGATCCTCCTTCGAACGACCACGTCCCTCCTACGACCGAGCCCGACCATCCTACGATCGAATGCGAGCTTCGATGGACCGCACGCGGGCCAGTTTCGAGGCCAGTAACGACTTCACCTCGGCCGCTCGCCTCTCTCGGATAGAGTCAAGCCAGTCTTACAGCGACCGATTCCATCCTAGACGACTACGAGGTCTGTCATTGACGAAGAGCGCCAACATGTAGCGGCTGCTCCAGACCTTGGACCGAATCGAATCGAACTTTCCTTGTATTATATCCCGGCCTGGCCCTCCCGACGGGGCCGAATTGTTTCTTTTTGCTGTTTTGTTGATATCCCCCCGATGCATCACGATCTGCATGAGCGATCTACGACATTCCAACCCTCGCACTCGAGCGACTCGATGCTTTGTCACCCACCACACACAAATACACACACACTCAGTCACTGCCTTTTTCTGTTTGGTTCGAAGTTTATTATGCTTTCTTGGTATTTTTATCGTATAGGGATTCCTACTGCGACGGCGTTTTAGGAGGACAAAGGATTGGAAGTCTCGGACGGCATTTTTGTGCAAGCTTTGGTGTGCATCCTAGAATTGAGAGGGGGGCGCCAGGAACCAGTCCATGCTGAGGGTGCTGGAAGTTCTTCGTCAGGCCCTAGGGCGTTGTGAGTCTGGGTGGACCAAACAAAGTGATGGCGCACAGCTTTCGCGCTGTCGACGCTTTTGTACATACGCGCGAGCGGGAGAAGGGAAAAGATGCAAAAAACAAAACATAATAGGGGGAAGCTTGGAGATAAGCCACAGAGACAGCAGCCAACTGGTATTTGAACTGTTAACAAGACCCATTTCAACTTTGAGTTCCCAAGGTTGTCATTTGTCGTTTTACTCCATATGCAAGATCAAGACTAGACGATTGAGGCGATGATATTCCTGAATATTGAAGTTGTTGGGAGACGGCCTACCTAGATTACTTTTGCCCTCCATCAGTCCATGGTAGGAATTGAGCACTTGGCGAGGACACTGAGAAGTTCAGGTACCATCTGTGTTGTACCTCAGCTGTTACCCCTGCAGCCAGCCCCCGCCCAAAGCCAGATGCAAGTCCCACCGCAGCGAGGGTCCTGGCAAGGAACTCGACCGGGGGGCAAGCTCCCCCGAGCTCTGCTGATTTTTGACCAAGAACATCCGATGCGCCGCGACCTCATGGATGGATCCGCTTGGAGGGGGCTCGGTGTTTGCACATAGCATTTCCACGATCTCGGTGCCCACGACGGCAGTTGCAGAAACTCTCAATAACAAGCCCAGTGTATATACTCAATTGGACCTGGGTAAATTCCCATCATGGACGCACAGCTCTTGGATGATGTCGCCGATAGGTTCAACGCGTACCTCGACGCCGTTCCGTAAGCTATTACTATCAGCCAAAAGTGGCGTCACATTTGTGCTCGAAATCCAGAGGCTAATTCTACATGCTCGCAACAGGGCCGGACTTCCTCAGTATATCCTCGCTGTGGCTGCTATTGCCATCAGTATATTCCTCGTGCGACTAGCGCAGATCTGGAACGAGGACAAGGCTGTCCCATACACCGTCCCTCCGCCGAAGATTCCGGACGAGCACTCCATTGTCGAGGAGACCAATGTGAAGGTACAGCATACTACGTTCCCCTGATCTCCAGAATCTTACTCAGCTTGAACAAATGGCTAACTAGGCTCTACATTCCAGATCTCCGGCACGACCGCAGTCCAATGCTACGCCCCGGCCACGGGACAGTTCCTCGGCTTCATCAACCCCTCCACCCCCGCCTCCATCGACCGCGCCGTCGACGCTGCCCACGCGGCGCAGGCGAAATGGAAGAAGACGACCTTCCGCGAGCGCCGTCAGGTGCTCCGCACGATGCTGCAACACGTGCTCGATAACCAGGAAGCCATCTGCCGCGCCGCCTGTCTCGACTCTGGCAAGACAATGGTGGACGCCCAGCTGGGCGAGATCCTCGTAACGGTTGAGAAGCTCACGTGGACGCTGAGCCACGGCGAGAAGGCCCTCCGCCCCAGCCCGCGGCCTACGAATCTGCTCATGGCATACAAACGGAACGAAGTGCGGTACGAACCACTCGGTGTCGTCGGTGCCTTGGTCAGCTGGAATTACCCGTTTCACAACCTTGTTGGGCCCATCATCTCGAGCATCTTCGCTGGTAATGGTGTGCTGGTCAAGGTCTCTGAGCAGACGGCTTGGAGTTCCCAATACTTTACCAGCATCGCAAGAGGGGCTCTCATTGCCCACGGCCACGATCCCGCTCTGGTTCAGACGGTTGTGTGCTGGCCCCAGACGGCAAACCACATCACTTCCCACCCAAAGATCTCTCACTTGACTTTCATCGGATCTCGCCCTGTCTGCCTAAAGGTAGCCGCCTCGGCCGCCAAGTCGCTCACACCTCTGATCGCGGAATTGGGCGGCAAGGACCCGTCCATCGTCCTCGACTCTGCCGCCAAGGATTTGAAGCGTATCGTTGAGATCCTCATGCGCGGTACGTTCCAAGCGTCCGGACAAAATTGCATTGGAATTGAGCGCATTATCGCTACGCCAAAGTTGTACGACCAACTTGTGGCCACCCTGGCGCCGAAGGTCCAGAGTCTTCGCCTGGGACCGACCGCAGATGTTGGTGCCATGATCTCCGATGCCGCGTTTGACCGCCTCGAATCCCTCGTCGATAAGGCTGTCAAACAAGGAGCCCGCTTGCTGGCCGGTGGCAAACGGTACATTCACCCAGAGCACCCTAAGGGCCACTACTTTGTTCCAACTCTCCTCGTCGACGTTACTCCTGAAATGGAAATTGCCAATGAAGAGTGCTTCGGCCCTGTCATGACCATCATGCGCGCTCCCGGCCCCGACGCAGACTCTGTTCTGTCGGTGGCCAACGCTCCAGAATTCGGGCTGGGTGCTTCCATCTTCGGCGGCGACAACGATCCTATCCTCCGCGCTGTCGTCGATGGCCTCAACACGGGCATGGTAGCCATTAACGACTTTGGCGCAACCTACGCCGTACAACTCCCCTTCGGTGGCGTCGGTGGGTCAGGCTACGGCCGGTTCGCAGGTGAGGAAGGACTCAGAGGCCTCTGCAACATCAAGAGCATATGCGTCGACCGCTTCGGCTGGTTGGGCGTCCGCACTGCCATTCCTCCACCCGTCAAGTATCCCGTCCCGGACCAGGAGCGCAGCTGGCGGTTCACTAGAGGTGTTGTGGGCGTGGGTTACGCGCAAAGTCTGGCGGGCAAGTTCAAGGGCATTCTCGACATTATGAAGAATGCTTGATCATCTTCATCGCACTCATGAACATTGAACGACGAAGAGCGGGGGGTTGCAGCCACCTTAGCCAGCTGTATCTTGTGTAATGATAATAATAGAGAAAGGGAAAGTGATGAGTTAGAAACATAGATACCAAATCGATCAAAAGCACCTCATTTAAACTCTCAATCACTCTTAGCATCTCTCCTATCGCGTTACTAGTTTCCCAGGGAAAACGAAGTTTGATTCGAAGGAGTCATAATTATATTAGGGAACTTGACAAACAGGCTCGACTTACTCTCCCCTGATGACTGGTTTCCAGCTAAGGACTTGATTCTGTAGCAACAGGCACGACAAATGTGGGATCTCAAGGACGATGTCAATAGATTAGAGACGTGAGGGTGGGTATCAAGAGATATATGATTCATTAGCTGCGATCCTATTCCATTCTGGCAAACTCCATCAAAGCATTCCGAATAGACCGCCCCAACTTCTCTCATCTATCCCTTCTATGGTTGACATATCCCGCAAAGAACCCAAACTTTGCCTCTGGAAATGCAGAAGGTAGTATCTAATTACCAAGAACCACCACCGCCAGAAGAAGCACCCCAAGCGGGAGCGGCCTCGGGCTCCTCCTGCTTGGTCTCGTTGCCGGCAGAGTCGCCGCCGCCACCCCAGGCACAGTCGCCTCCAGAGTCGCCTCCTGTTGCGCCCCAAGCACCATCACCTCCAGCATCATCGCCGCCGCCGCCGCCCTCGTTGGACCAGCCGCCGCCCTCACCACCCAGGTGAGCAATGCCTGCCTCCTCAGGGTCGAAGTCGCTCTCGGTCTCGAACTTCAGGTTCTCCAAGCCCTTACCAGTGGGCTTGAAAGGCTCAAGGAATTCAGGGACCTCCTGCTTGGTCTCCAAGAGGGTGCGGACGAGAACGCTAGCCATGGGCTCATCGCGGTCAGTGTAGAAGGAAGTGGCAATGCCACGCTGACCCATACGACCAGTGCGGCCTGATGTTGCGTTAGCAAGATGTCAAACCACAAGATAACAATAAGGGGGCATTTTGATACGCAGATCAAAGAAAACATGCAAGAGAAAGTAAAAGGTGCCAACAGCTATGCTTACCGATTCTGTGGGTATACTCCTCAATGCCACCGTGATCCAAGCTGGGCAGGTCGAAGTTGATGACGTGGTTGACATTCCTCACGTCAATGCCGCGAGCGCTGATGCCAGTGGCAATAAGGATGGGAGACTTTCCAGCACGGAAAGCGCGCATGGAAGCCTCACGCTCAAGCTGAGTGCGGTCAGCATGCATCGAAGTGCACGGGAAGCCAAGGTTGAACAAGAAGTCGTCCAAGTCATCGCAGGTACGCTTCTGGTTGACGAAGATGATGGTGCGGCAGGCAGGAAGAGAGTTGATCTGATCCTTAAGAGCCTCCTTCTTCTCGAAAGATTCATACTTGAAGACGCGCTGGAGAATGTTGGTGTGGGTGCTTCCAATTCGGCCGATGTTGATACGGACGCTAGATGAAGACAAGTTCTCCTTCGCGAGATCACGGAGCGGCTTGGGGAAGGTGGCTGAGAATAGCATGTACTTGATATTTCCCTCCTGCTGTTCTGAAGAAACTTTTAGTGGGATTCGAGACACGAACAGCGAAAGAGTAAAACTTACCACCACCAGTCATGATGACATCCATCTCCTCGCGCCAGTCATCGTGAAGCATCTCGTCGGCCTCGTCAAAGACCATGTATCTCAAGCGCTTGAGCGAGAGAACATCAGGCCGCTGGATGAAATCGACAAGGCGACCAGGAGAGGCGATAAGAACATCACAGCCCTTTCCGAGCTGCTGAATCTGGTCTCTCAAGGGACCACCACCGTAGGCGACACACGGGCGAAGCATGGTTCTATAACAGAACTTGCGGGCTTCGTTGAAGATTTGAATGGCCAACTCGCGAGTGGGACAGACGACAACCACCAGAGGCTCAGCACGAACCCACTGCTGTCCAAGAGCAAACTCGGAGGGGTTGGGGCGAGGGGCAGCGAGCTTTTTGGCCTTGCCCATGAGCTTGTTCAAGATGGGAATGAGGTAAGCAGCGGTCTTTCCGGAGCCTATCCAAGTACTTTAGTAACGTTGAGCAATATGCGAACAAAGGGATACTTACCGGTCTGAGCGATAGCCACAACATCGAGACCCATGTGAATGGCGGGAAGAGTGTACTTCTGGATGGGGGTAGGAGCCTCGTAGCCGCAAAGCTCGATGTTCTCTTCCATGACAGGGTGCAAGCCGGCGTCCTTGTAGGAGTGAACCGGCTCGACGCGGATCTCTCCCTCCTGGGTAACCTCGACAGAAGAGATGCTAGAAGCTGTCAGTCTTGTTCGATCAATTTCAAAGAGGAAACCTACACAGAGAAGTCGAGGCCAGAGTTGGAGGCAAGGCGAGAGTTGGAATCGCCGAAGAGGGCCTCCTCGAGCTCGGGGAATTTGGGACCAACATCGCCAAATTCCTTATCCCACTCGTAGACGGCACCGTTGCCAGCCCAGTCGTTTGCCACCTCGGGGCCCTGCTGGGCAAGCTGATCGTAATTGTAGGGCAGAGGCTCCGCCCACTTGGTACCATCGCTGTTGACAGCAGCGGCAGGGGCCTTCTTGCCATCGGCAAGAAGAGCCGACTGCATGTCGGCAGTGTCGAACGCAGACATCTTGGCGTGAGGAAGTCTTTCGTGTTGATTAGCTTCTGGATCAGTCGACGGCCAGCGGTTCGTGATGCTTACCTTGATTTGCTTGATGGAATAATGTTGCGATAATTGCAGGGAAGACTGCACGGGGCGAGAACCTTGGTGCTGGATTTTTCCGTTGAGTTAGTACGGCACGAAGGAAGAGGAAGGAAGCGAAGATGTGTATGAGAGAAGGAAACGGAAGCCACCGAAATCCGAGAACGGTTGATGTGGTTACAGCGGGAAGGGGAGTTTAGAGGTCTGTCAATTTTCCGAGATGAAATCTGGCAGGGAGCTTTGAAGAAGGGTTATCCTCGAAAAAGTTGCAGTATTTCCGATGGAAGAAGCAGACTGAGATCAGGGCTGGAAGGGAACGAGGCGAATTTGATTGCAAAGTGAAGAAAAGCCGGGGATTGAAGCCAACAAAATTGTGTTCATCAAAGCTGAGGCTGATGATGTTCAAATGAAGGGCCCCCGAGCAAAGGTTTGCGAAAAATACGTAGACTCCGACAGTGGGTGAATAGCAAAGAAAGATGGGAATGGAAATGGAAATGGGGATAATGGGAGAGCAGATCAAATGAAATGGAAAGTACTTACCTCGCAAACGAAAATTGAAGTCAAAAACTGATCTCTTGTTGGGGATCCTTTCTCGACGATCTGTGATGGGTGTGGAAGAGAATAGAGAAAAGGGAAGAAGTTGAGCAGCAGCAGGTGGGATACAAATATTCGTTAGTGGGAGGGCGCTCGCTGGAAGGCTCGAAGGCGGTAGGCTGTTCCATAGAGGGCAAAAAGGGCCGGAGGCAGAGGACAGGCACCGCTCTCAGAGGAAGCAAGACACGATGAATGAGGCAGGCAGGTCGGACGACTAAGCGGGGATGAGGGTGGAATTGTGACTGCCTCGTGAGACCTTCGAATCAGGTGGGAGAGTCTCCCTCCAGGCTTCACTTCCTGCCTTATCTCAGAAGGCTCAATTGGAACTTGAAAACACTAAACGAAATCTCATTGAAGCTTCGGACGAGAGAGAGACAAGGCCAGACGAATAGTTGCCTTCTTTGACATTACTCATCTATCATCACGTTGTCTTGTTGCCTTTGTAAGGTTGTTTAGATTAACTGCCTGCAGCAAGAAAGAAGACGAAAAGAAAGGCAAGTAATATGGATAGAGGCTGAAGAATACATAGGTGATCTTAAGAACAAAGAAAGACAATGGACTTTGAAGATACAGAATATTCTGCGTATGTCACCTTTGTGTCTGAGTCGACTCTGATGATTCTAATCGGAGCATTTCGCCAACAAATTGAAACATGTAAGATGTCGCTTGATAGCAGCTTGATACCATAGATGAAGCTAGACGAAGATGGTTCATGACTTTTCAGCTTTGAAGGCTCGCTGTATGACACCAAGGGATAGTTATAGACGAGAGGGATGTCCCTCGGTCTCTGTTCTCGGAGTATCTGAAGATCTTGGACAACAGGGGTCTCACCGAGGTGAGATGGGTATCATTAATATATCCATCTATGAATGCTACATACTATGAGGTAGCGGATGGCGACGCTCTTGGACGTTACTAAGCGGCTTGAATGGAACTTCACTTCGTCCGCCAAATCCAACCAGCCAAACGTATAGCCTTCTCGTGGTGAAGCATTGAATCTTTCCATCTCCCAAGAACCCCTCCGGCGCATCACTTTGCTCCGACAGGCAAGACGTAGTTGCCCAGGCACCTAGCTTCAGGCACCTAGCCTCAGCGGTGAAATCAGTGCCATCTGACCGGGACCTACAATACTGCGGAGGAGAGGTTGATGTGGGCAGGCGATCTTGTCTGGCGGGTTCCTAAGACCGCCAGAGATTGCAGATGATTTGAAATTTGGGGGCAGTATCCTTCACCACAAATCAAGGAGATCTTGAGGCTCAACAGCAGACGTTGCCTCATATCCACTCATACCCTCGGTCAATGCATGATCCAATGCAACGGCTGATCGACCGATGGTACCGCCCTCCTTCTTCGACTGCTCTACGCCTTTTTGAAACGAATTCAGGAACCTCCTATGGAACACCCGTTGCCGTGACTCGCGATCATTATACATCTCCGCTTCCTCGTCCCGACGGGTTCCGAACAGGTTGAGGTACGCAAATGGGTTCGGCGTCCGGGGCACTCGGTACATATTGTCCGCATAGGCGTTGGGGTTCTTCTGCGTCGCAACCTCGGGCTTGAGTCCCGCCTGCAGGAACCTAGCCAGCACGGCGACCTGCCTCGCGTGGGACTGCGCGTCCTTTGTGCGGAGGCCCGTCTTTGGCGCGGTCGACCACCCCGAGCTCGTCTTCACAGTCCAGCCCATCAATGCGCAGAAGCTGTTGAGTGTCTTCACCCAGCCGCCCGGGCAGCTGACGGTCTCATCTTCCGCGACATCCAGGAGCCACTCGAGAACGGAGAGCGAATCGTTGCTGATGTCGGCGGAGAGGTGGGTCATTCCTGCTCTGGTGTACATGATGCACTTTTCGGCGTGGTGTTTGACCTCCGCCTCGGGCAGGGCCCGGAACAGCTTCAGCAGCTGGCTGCGGACGGGTCCTGAGGCGTCCGAGATCAGAGGCAGAAGCTTGCTCAGCACTGTTGCGGTTCCGACGGGGTTGTTGTCCGCCAGCACCTGGCTTGTCAGATGGGCCAGGGACTCTTTGCGCTGTTTGTCTGCTCTTGATGTTGAGGCTAGTGAAAGGTTGTGCTTGAACTGGGTTGCGTTGTCAGGGGCTTCAGTCGAGAGTTTCTGGTGGCCCATGGCAATGGACTTTGCCTTGAAACTGGTGTCTGTGAAGTTGGTTGGCTTGACCTTGGCCTTTCCGACCTTGAACTTTGGTTTCTATGAGAACATGTGAGTATTGATATGAGATCTTATGAGAGGCAGCGATCCGCTTCACACTTCTCGCTGAGATATTCATACCGCAAAGTCCTTGGCCTTCTCCTTCTTCTTTCTGTTGCTGGAACCCATGATGTCTTATTTGTGGGATATTCTGGCTTAGTGTCGATTTGGAGTATCCGCGAAGTTTGTGAACGAGTTGTTGAAATTTCTACAGTATTTTGCGAGTATTGAGCGTTGAGTTCTTGGTCACTTCTCACATGAGATGGCTGGCACATTGAAGGTTGAGACCCCTGCAAAGTCTGGAGCCAGAACTTTTCGGCGGTCAGGTACGGCAGAATCTGGTCGAGCTCCAAGTCCCCTCCACTGGCAACTCAGCCCCACCACGACGTTGAGACGCTGTTACCCGGTGAATCCTAGCTCCAGTTATTGGGCACCTTAGCTTCCAACCCAGCCTTACAGACGAGACCCGACCTAGCTTTCGGGGACACTCATTTGTTTCCACGATCCAACGACGCTCGATTCTTTGTGAAAGTCCTCCTGCAACTTGGGACGCATCTAGACAAAGCATCGTCCGTATCTGTCTCTCGCTTGATAATCTCCCCATCTCCCAATTATGACCGACACAACACCCGTGAGCGACCTCGACCCCTCCTCCTCTTCAGCGATGGCGTCATAGCTAAACAAAGAATGTGTCCCCCCTTCCGCAGACCAACGGACCCGACGCGCTGGACGAGACCCTCAAGCGCCTCTCGAACAAACCTGGCGTTAAGGCGACCGTCATCCTCGACCGAATCACGGGTGCGATACTACGAACGAGCGGTCAGCTGTCGTCTTTCAACGCAGCAACGCTACAGACTTCCGGAGGAGGTTCCTTCTCGGGCGAGGGCGCCGCCGCGCAGCAGCAGCAGAACGGTGAGGAGCAACCGCAGGGCCTGGAGGACTTTGCCGCAAAGGTCTGGAACTGGGTGAATGCGTCGGGCGCCCTGGTGTTAGATCTAGATACCGAGGTAAGAAGAGGGATCCGGTCCCGTAGGCAGACTGCGGAGCGAGTCTTTACCCCTGAACGAAGTGCCGGGACTGACCATCGGGAACAGGATGAGCTGAAGCTACTGAGACTACGAACGAAGAAACAGGAGCTAGTCATTGTACCGGATCCGAAGTACCTACTCATCGTGGTACATGACACACCGCCGGCTTGAAGAATCTCAAGGTCTGACTCACGATTCTGGCATCGGTCGGCGTTTCACGGACATGTCCTCATTGGCTTCACCGAGCGGACGTCCTTTGGGAGGATTTGCATCTGCCAAGCCGAAGGGTAGAGGGCCAGGACTGGCATGCTCATTGGCCGGCCCCAAGACGATCGTATTTACACAATACGCAGGAAAGGGAAACCGAGAAACCCTCTTCAGGCTGCCAAGAGGCTGCCAAGCTCCAAGCTCTACGTACATACACACATGGAAAACAAACAAGGGGGGAAAAGAGATAGCTTGGCATGGACGGTCGAGGCTGGCGCGATTACGAATGATACCCTGATATTACCATCCGCCACGACCACCTAGCATATACTTCGTACGTCCGGAATGAAGCCGGAGCGGGTGTTCCGCGGGCGATCGCGGCCAGGGCCGCGGCCCTGCCGGATAGCTCAAGAAAAAAAATAAAATGCAAGAAATGAGATACAAGTGCAAACTCAAAATGATGTTCGAAGCCATCATCGTTTCGTGATATAGGACAAGGCGAACAGCCCAGCCCAGCCCCCCGCGGAAGCCATACCCGTCAGCTCCGGGAGCTGGGCGTTTCCCTGCTATCCGCGACGAACCGTCCGAGCCGAGGCGTCCGTTTCTCCCCTGCCTTGGGAAAATTAGCATTCTGACAACTTGGCACCACTACCACCACCACCAGCTCTGGAAGCTAGAAAGCTAGCCTCGCGAACCAGGTGTAACACCACGGACATGAGCTCAATGTCATCCGGAAGCTCAGTGGCTCGCAAACATATTGGTAAGCCCAAGCTCGGGGGCCTTGGGTGCGCCGGGAAACGTGGCGCGACACCGAGCGAACGGGAAGTGGGCTTGGGGGGGCTAGCTAAGGTAGGCCGGGATGAGGCGCCGGTTCGAATTTGGAAAGTCGAGTTCAAAACGTTGACGTGGGCAGAGTTGCAACCACACACAAACACACACACAGACACACGCACCCCGTCCCCTTGCCCACCCCAAACACCTGGGAATTAAATTAAAGGCCTTTCCCCTTGAAGAAACCACCACCACCATCCACGTCGCTTTCTCGCTTGAAAGTCGCTTGAAAGTCGCTTCAGGCTTCTCGACCAGTCGGCGGTTGAGGATTTGCTGCTTTGGCGACATTTCAAGTGGACGCTGGCGAGAAATTCGATGCGCCCACCACCCTTTTTTTCTTTTTTTTTTTCTTTTTTCACCTCTTTACTAGCGTACTTCTATGTATGAGCCTTGTTGTTTTGGAAATCTTTCCTCCTCTCGTTTCAGTAACTTGTGGCGAGGTCCTGCCTAGACTCCGGGGTGTGTGGTTCGCGAATATCTCTGCCTTACTGGGCATCTCCGGGCTTGCTTGCCTAGGCCCATCCTTCTCTTCTGTTCTGGCCCTTCTCGTGTAAACTTGTCGTAAAGGGAGATTGGGGCTCCTTTAGAGTTTCCTTTAACCTTTTTCTTGCGTCCTTCTGGACGTTCTCGCTTCCAGGTTGTCAATGTCATTGTCAACATGTCTACGCAACGCAGCAGGCCTCTGTTGTAACTTATTGGTGTAACCCTTTTCGTTTTGAAGTCACCTCGGCGGTGGGCTTTTATTTGAACTCTGTTGGGGGGTTTGCCATTTGACTGGCGTTATTGTCAGGGTTCAGAATTAGTCCGCGGGATGCAGCTCTCTTGTTCCCGAACTTGTCAACAGATGTCTTCTGATGATATGCCTTTTCTCCCCTCTCCGGGCCCCTCGCTGGAAGAAATGGAGCTCCAGCCTTCAGCTGAGAATCAACCCCTTTCTTTTTCGTCCTCTCCCGCCTGTCTCCTTACCCCAATGATATGAGACGAAGATGTTCGAGAACAATGGAGAGAAGGCCAGCTCTCTCACTACTCATCGTTCTCGTCGCGCCCACACCCCCGTGACATGTCGCCTCATGTCCATAGTCCAGGTGGATCTAGGTCCACCGACTGCCCAATGCTCATGCTCTTCGGCGGAGACCTTCTCCCAAACCACGACGGAGGCCCCCCCTTGTCAAAGAAAGTTGTCCCATGTTCATTCGGTCGTCGTCGCCGCGGCAGGAAAGGGTACAGAGCTGTCGTCTGCCGCGTGAGGCAGAATTCCCGTTGTCTTCGTTTCGAAATCGTTCTTGAAATAGGTCCATTACTTTCTTACTAGACCCTCTCTCCAGATTTCAGAATGGTTACGAGAAGGAGCCAAGTTGGGCTGTAGAGTTCAAGCTAGAGCTTCGAAGCCAGAAGTCCAAGGTCATCCTTGCTCCAGGGACTCGGTTCCAATTAAATCCCACCATTCATGGTCGGCTCAGCGTCGAATGCTGGTTCTTGCTAGACGTTCGAGAAGCAACAGCCGAAAGGAAGATCTTTAATGCCAAGGGAGGCGGGCGGGAAGAGGTTCAAGCCACACAGACAGACGCGGCATGGTCTGCAAAGTACACTACTTCTCTGCCGTCGGCCCTAAACCCATTGGTGGCACAATGCGTGCTTCGGCTTGCGAGAAAGGGATGTGCGATGACGGGCCCGGCAAATGGGTTGTGTTACTGACGATGGTGGCGTTCGAGTTCTGCAAGAAATGCCAAATTACACCATCTTTGCCGCACAAGCGTGGTCCTTGCTAATAATTCGAATTTGACCCTGCAAAGATTCTTTCTTGCACTGCCTGTACGGGCAGGTAATGTTCTTTTTCACTTTTTAGCGGCATATACGAATTTTGGTGGTATTCTTGCTTTTTGCCCTCTTTTCTACTGTGGTATGTGTATTCTTTTTTTCGGTCTTGCCCAACCGTATCCGGCATGAATGAGGGTCTTTCAGGGTCAGAATCCCACGATTCCGGTGAGCATTGAAATCATGGCTTCCGAGAAGAGCAAACAACGCAACATCAACCAGAAAGAATGTCCACCGCAGCTGCAACATGGAATCTCCAGGACTCCGCCCAGCTCGCCATCCATGAGACACAGTGACACCGTGATCCATCATCAATCCCCCCTCCCGTCTGATTCCCACTGCCCAGAGGGGTGGAGAGGAGGATGGTGTGGGCTTGCGGATCCCGAAACCACCTAATCAGAGATCTTCCCCAAAGAGACGAATGAGACCCCTGTCTTGGAGGGCCGCGAGCTGGGCGAGCATCGCAGCGGCTTAAGGCAGTTTGGGTGGATTTCACATGCACTTTCGATGAGCGAGCTGGACCAGCTGATGTGCTCGTTTTACGGATACCTGCTGTGTATTCTAATTCCTGGGTTTCTGAATCTGGCCTGTTGCAGATGTCTTTGCGTTTCGTAACTTCCTTCGTCTTTTTTCCTGTTCTCCATTACTTACACGAAAATACTTTTTCTTCATGATTTCTTATTCTTCTTCATCGCCAAGTCCATCTAGAAGAAACTCCACCAGTATGTTGGTGACGAGGGGGACCCCGAAAATGGTGTTTTGTTGCGGCCGTGATCATGGATCTGCTTCCCCTTACCCGCTGCGGCTGTCTGATGTGTGTGTGTGTGTGTGTCTGCTCATCTTTCTCTCTTGCCTCTCGTACCCCTGTCAAGATTCAAAAGGACATCTCTCGTTGGTGATGGACCTGCCGGAGACAATGCAAGACCAAAAAAGATGAGCGCCGGGCAGGACGCACGCTATCATGCAATCTGACATTAGCACCATTACCAATGACGATGTGAGGGAGGGTATAATTTACCTGGCGTTATACGGGGGACGAAATTGAAGAGAGAGAAAAAGCACAAGCCGCCAATTTCAAAAATTTGGACATTCCTCTCCTCTGTGCGCGCCGTGCGACCTTTCAGAATTGCCCATCGGAACCGGTCGTCATCTTGTTGATCTCTGTTTTTTTCTGCCCTGTTGCTTTATCATCATTACAACTTCGGTAACCCAAGGCCACGGGAAGACGAGAATGGCGAAGCCGCTACGCGGGAGTCCGGGTGGAGTACCTAAGATGGAGGTTTACATGGAACCGGGCTCTTAGTTTTCTTGCTGGGCTGAGCACTCTGATGAAGTCACAACGCAGCAAGTTACACGACGAGTGAGGGAGACAGAAAGAGTGCAAAACACACACACACTTAAAGTCCATGCCATGCCTGCAAGACGCGGAATGCCCACTCTGGCACTCACACCCCTTCCCCCCCTGGTCCATATCGATTATGGGGTGGGAGATGACGAACGAACGGGAAGCTGAAGCTCGCTCTGCTTCCATAGGGCGTTCTTTTTTCGTCTCTTCCTAGGTAATCTTGTATTCTTTTCTGATCTCCCCTCGGTGCTTTTCCCCCTCTGCTCGTCCCTGTCTCTGCCTTTTCCTCACCCGACATGGGAGCATTGAAGATCTGAGACTGCCGTTCGTTCTGCCCACCCTTTCTTTCTGTTAGCCCGGGGAGAAGAAGGGGAGGGGGGTCATCTTCCTCGCTTCCCTCCACCCCCAGAGCTCTCTTTCCCAGGGTATGCAGCTATATTCAGATACGTGAAAAGTAATAGGCGCGAGGACGCTTTTCTCTATCTCTTTCTGCCTTTCTCGCTCTCCTTGCCGTAGCGGACCAGACAGACACATTCCCCCCCCCCCCCCCCCCCGGTGCCTTGTTGCATGTCGCCTGCGGCTAGGACGAGGGGTACACCAACAAAGTGGACATGCCTTCGTCTGCGGCCCCCTCGCCCTGTCCTATCCCGTGGATGTCTTATCCCGTCACTGTCCACTGAACCAGTCAGAGGGGACCCCCTTCGTCGAAATGGTCAAGCCCAAAGGCCCCAGGTCCAGCCCAACACATGGACTGAGTGGGAAACTGGGAGTGAAGGGCAGAGGGAGAGAGAGAGCGTCCAGCAGCGCATAGAGGGGAGTGAGGAAAGCAAAAAAAAAAAAAAGAGAAAGAGTGGATGATAACAGATACAGATACGGATACAGAAAAGTGTTGTTGTTGTTGTCACTCCCCTCCAAGTCCAAGACCACCCCTGCCTTGGCAGACCATCGGCCGTGTGTCTGTCTGTCTCTCTTGTTGATTCGCATTCATTTCTTGTTTTAACATCCCGCCGCCTTGCCTCTCATTTGCTGTAAGACTGTGCGTTTCCCACTTCTTGCTTCTGATTCTCACCTTACAAGACTTGACCCCCATCCCCCTCTTCCTCTGTCTACTACGTCTCTTTTTTTTCCTGTTTATTTTCTTACCTACCTTACCTACGATCTCTCGAAGCTTGCCCGCCTATCGTTTAGTCGGACCTTCGTCCACCTACTGCAGGAAAACTTGACTCAACACTGCGCCTTGCGTTCCCGTTGCGACACATGAAAGGTTACCTTGCAGAAACCTGGACTTGCATCATTTCCATCGGCGATAAGACGTCGGACCTCCCCCTCCACCACCACCATCATCGCTACCAGCTCCTCCAACGACGCCACTTCTGAGCAGCCACCTTGGAAGATCAGGATTACCTGGCTGAAAACTTGTCGAAAGAGCAACAATACTACAAATTGAAAGAGATTGGGAAAGAAGTGTGGGAGAATAAGATAAGAAAGAGACTGGAGATTTTACTTCGCCGTGGGGGAGAACAGGGACGAAATTGAGACGAATGAGACGAACACGGCAGCAAACTTCATCCCAACCAACGACCAACACAACCCACGACTAGTATCTGTAGAAGCAGCAAAGATGCCGTCGTTATCACTGCTCAGACGGGGGTCTAAGCAACACGACCAGCGGCCATTATCCCCTTCGAAGCGCCAGCAACGACAACAAGAAGTTCGACCGCCGCTTTCGCCGCCACAGGAGAACGGAAGGGAGGCGTCGGCGGGCGGTTTAGGGATCGGAACGGGCGAACCGGAGCGGGAGCGCAAGTTCTCCAAACGGGACCTTTTTGGAGGGCTGTTGAGTCGCAGCAAAGGCCGGAGCACCAGCAGCAGCGCATCGACGCCGGCTTCGTCGACAAAGTCTGGGCGGGGTCCCGGTGCCGAGTCACCGACAAAGTTGCCCGTACGTTTCTCTCTTTTCGTCCATGTCTGTATATTATCCTTTCTACACCAAACGGTCCGTCTCCTTCAAAAAGTTTAGCTTCCCACAATTTTTCAATGCTTCGATCATGTCAGATCACGCGCGCTTCGTCGTTCTATTTTCCACCTCTTTTGTGGTACTCCCCCCAGTTCCCTTCTCAGGCAAGGTCCCTGAGATGGACGCTTCGAGTCTGGACCAGCTCCGACGCCCCGAAGTTCCGATTTCCCCTCCCCGATGTCCCCGGTGCCGAAAGCTGGAGATGAGAAAGTTGCTCAGAATAGCAGCAAGGCCGTACTGGGAAGATGCACGCAACGCAGCAGTGCTGCTTGGATCCAAACATACTGCGCATAGCTTACATGCTTTACACAAATCACACGCACCTTTCCTTCACTACCACCCACCACAAGTCTACAACCCCCTTCCGTGCTGTCACCCCCGCACTCTCAGACCAGGTCCGGTTCCCGCGTCGGTGTCGGTGGGTTTGTCTTGGCCAAGGCTGGACATTCCGTGCGCCGCAGACGGAGAAGTGAACACAGACAGTTGAAGGGAGAGACAGACACACGGCAGTGGCAGTGGCCAGTGGGCAGAGAGCGGCTCTCCAAGGCGTGGGTACCTCCTGCTCCCATCCCGTACCTGTGTTTCCATGCCTTCCTGGTTCCAAGCTCCCCGGCGCCTTCTCCCCACCTCACCGGGCTGGACCTAGACCCTCCCGTCTTCTGTCCTCCGTAAGGTACGGATACCTTGCTCTAGGTACCTTACGTAAGGTGCTGAGGGGACGTGGAAACGGTGGCAGTGACGGTACCTACTGCGTAGACGGCGCCACAGTCTGCAGCACGACGCACCACGACTGCACCACGACCTCATCCCCCTCTCCACCGTGTCACTCCCCCGCCATCGTCCTATGCAATCCATCAAATGGGAACTGCATCAGGCCACTTCTGGTCTGCCCTGTCTTGCAATTTCTGCTTGCCCATCCATCATCTCATTGCCCATCAGCCTGCTTGCTCATCAAGTTTGCTTGCAGTGACGTCCTTCGAGATGTCCATCTGCTGTTCCAGTGTTCCTTAATAATACTTTCTTTCCCAAGCCTCCGTACCTACCCCGATGCTCAGACTCTGACGATCTATACCTCCGCTACTCCCTTGCATAACCCGTCCCTTCTCTGCCGCGTGATCAGCTTCCGAGACTCCAATTCCCCCTCTTTACTTTTAGTCAATGTTACTTGTATAACACACCCCTTTCTTTCTCTTCATCGACAGCCTTTCTTTCCTCAAGTCTGCAAATTCCTTTACAGTCCATTGCTGTAATAATCGGTCCAGCCTTTTGAGCGGGTTAAAGACAAAGACGTCGTACCCCGTTTACACACAGAGAAAGCAGCCCGTCCTACCAACCATACCAACCCAACCACCTTGCCCTTTCCAGTCTCAGCAACACTGGCTCTTCTAATTACCCCAATTGGACCGCATCTCTTTGTTCAACCGTCGTAGAAGCCGTTGTGTCTCACCAGCAAACCCCAGGTTTCCCCTCCGCAAAGCAGTGCCGAGTCCCGTTCCTCTCGATCGCCGCCCCCTCTCAACCCCAATAAGCCACTGCCTTCCCCGCCTCCCTTCGCCTTCGACAGCGCCGACCAGAAAGCCAATGGCCCTTCCGCCAAACCAGTTCTGAAACTGACGAAAATCATGGCAACCCTCAGCGACGACGACGTTGAGAAGCTCTTCTCTGGAGCTCCTCAGTACTTTGCTCGCTCCGAAGGCCATTACACCGGCGCTCCGCACCCCTCTGTCGCCTTTCCCTGGGACGAGTCGCTCGAGATCCGCGACCTGACCGACCATGTCCAGATCGAAGACGCCGCCTGGAGCTGCATCACAGCTTGGCCTCACATAACAAGGGACATGAACTCCAATCCTGCTGCTATACGATGCGCCAAGGAAAGGAAGCGAGCCCATTTCTACCCGCGATGCCGAGAACGGCCTAATATGCTCAGTATGCAAGGCTTGGAGAAGGGCACAATGGGATACCAGGCGGCTTTGGAGATGCCGGTTGGCGACGCGCTCCAGGAAGAGCAGTTTGGCTTCGACAGCATTGGACACAAGGCCAAAGCCATTGTTGAACAGCGCCAGAGAATGTTGGCTTCCAAAGACGGCCTCCGCCGCTTGGAAGAATCGTCCATCTTGGATCAGCTCATTAAGAATGGCGCCAGGTACAAGGAAAACAAGGTCCACAGAAAGATCCACAACACCCTGTACAATGAGCTATTCCTGGGCATCCTGCATCCGCCGACCCGTGTCATTGACCACTATGACCCTTACAGCCTCTCTGTACAAATCTCGGCGCTAGTCAAGGTCCTTGCTGCACCCAATGTCTGGATCGACTTCTCTCATGTGGAATGGAGAATCAGACTTGGCCAGATCCTCTGGGGCTCCTTCGAGGGCGACGAGCTCGAAACAGATGTTGAGATCGACGACGCTGACAGCAACGAGGAGCGCAAAGAGGAGAGATACTGGTTGTTGCTTCAGATTCTCCTGGCATGCGAGTTGCTCATCAGGCTAGATGCCATTACGGAGGGTGAAGAGCTTGGTATCGAGAGCATCAGACCCACCGAGATTAAGCGCTTCGAGAAAGATGCAAACTCAACAGTCAAGTGGTCATTGCACTTGGCACGCGCCTGGCTCGAGAACATTGAAATCATTGAGCGGAAGGTCGACCCGGCGAATACTCAAAAACGCAACTCCGGCGGATGGCTAGCATCTTTGACCGGGAAGATGAGCCTCCACCCCAACAACCACGTTCACTCACAGGGCGACGTTTCCGTGTATACCATCCAGGGACGATACAGCGAGAGACAAGTCAATGGACTTACGAACTTTGCAAGAAAGCTACGCTGGCCCGACATCGAATCAGACACATACGCCGAGCAGATCTCAGAGAAAGTCAACAAGGTGTCAGAGGCGACTCCGATTCACACGCCCGCGGAAACACCAATGAGCATTGACACGAAAAGATCGTCTTATTTCGGTGGCGGTCGAACTGAAGCGAGCGTTACTCGACATCCGTCTGGGAAGCACAAGATCTCGGCAGCTTTGCATCCGTCGGGATGGCTATCCAAATCTTACGTGTCCGGCCTCATGCTTCCGGGCGAAGGACTGTACCACTTGATCATGACCACTCTCTTGGAGAACGACAAGGAGGCAATGTCCAAGCTGGGCCCGATGGCGAATCTGTGCGGTGGTTTCGTGTATCGTGGAAAGAGTTTCTGGAGCACTGCTTGCATCATCGGCCGCGTTCTGGCTGCTGGTGCTGGCTCTGCTCAGTGTATGGGATGGATCTCGAGCGATATTACTCCCCAAGGACATGGTGATGGCTGGGTCAATATCGACGTTGCCGAAGTCTGTGGTAAGTAACCCTCTGACGAGCTCCCATTTGACCTAAACTAAACATATTTTGCAGATGACATGAAAAAGACAGGCAAGCAAGCCCGACTGTGGGGTAAGACTCACGTCGAGCGCGAGTCTTGTGTTCTAGGTGATGCGGATCCCAGCTCGGTGTTACCCGCGGATTTCATTATTCCCTATGAGAACAATTATGCGGAACCGCCTCCCAGCCTGAGCATCTCCTTGACGTCTCTCAATCTGTCCGCGCCTGTGGACTCGACTCGTACCACTCCGACCGAGGAGACGGTGATGACCCCCTTTTCGGACGTGACCCGATCTCACGAACTCTACACCTATCCGGCTTCCATCTCCTTTTCTGTCGGCCCCAACGGCGGCGAAGCAAAGGAGCACCAATTCTCACTGACAAAGGATATCCATTTCCTGACGGCTCATCCTTGTCACCCATCTTCCCACGTTAGGGTCTTGAGGTCCCCTTCGAGCCCCACTATCCAGCAGATCGACGTGGACGGTAGCGGCATCGGCGGTGTGAGCTCCAAGCCGGCCACCATCACGGGTAAGAAGAACCAACCCCCCCTCACATGGCCACGTAGACTGACAATTATAGGACATCCCCTGCATAAATTCTTCACATATACTGTTATCCATCTCTCAGAGCTTCTCGACAAGCCAGATGCCTCCTTGGATAGCTTGCTTCTCAACACGTCATCTGTCCGCCGTCCATCTCTCACACCCACCCCGAACACCACGCCTCGCGTTCTGGTTATTGACTGCATCACTGGCTTCAAGCGTCAGGCTCCGACGCAAGAGACCCCCACGTCACCCATTCTCGAACGTACCGCCAACGGCGCCAGCCTTGCGACAACCAACATGCACCTTGAGTCCCGGCGTCGCCAGTTTGGAAGTGACATGGAAGTCCTGGTGAGGGCGTTTTGCGCAGAGAAAGGCTGGAACGCCATCATCTCAAGACGCCGGCGGGGTTGCCTTGCGTGCGCCATCAGAGAAGCTGGCGCTCTGGCTTGGAAGGTCATCATCCGCGTGGACTAGACGTGCTTTTTCCTCCACTTTGTCTTGAAACTGTTTAATCTTCTCTTGTGTGTACATAGTTTGAGGACGATCGACAGAGATCACAGTCATCATTTTGGGCGTCGGGTTTTTTTTTTTGATATGGGATACCTGGGGTACACACGCACACGTGCACACACGAGAGGCATGCATAGCGTTTGATTTGTCTTGCGGGAACGACTGAATGGGGGACAAAAGGAAAGAGATGGAAATAGGATGTCTGCATTGTTACGTCTGAGAAAGCTGTAGTGCGAGATACCCCCACCCTGATATAATACGCTGTAATGATGAATATCCCCTCCTCGTTCTGTTTGCTGTTGTGTGGCTTAACTCTCGAGGTTCGCGATCTTAGAGCGTATGCATAAAGTGCCTGCATGATATTCAGACTTCGGCTGTTTAGCGAATATGTATCTCGCGCGGCCAAAGTCTTCATTAAATTAACAACGCCGGCTTGGGCAAAATTGGCATATAAATACTCATCAAATGACCGGCCTGAAAATGCATTGCAAACTAGCAAGCCCCTTTGAGGCCTATGGGGTCTGACCTTGTAAATGGTATCATACCAAAAAGAAAAGATTGGATCCCTCCCTTACGCAAATCATCAACTACCTTGTCATTGCAGGTAACATGCTCTCGACACACACATTCAAAGGTCCTTGCCGTCGAACCAGCTGTTGACGCTCCACTCCTTCCAGCCGCGCTTCTCGCCAGGGAGCTCAATGGACTCGTACTCCTCCTTGGTGACCTTCTGCCACTCCTCGAGGGGGATCCAGCCAATGTAGGCACGGTCACCGAAGCCGCCAATCCAGTAGACGGATGTGACGACGAAGCGAACCCACTCTGATTCGTGGACGGGGCTGCCGGGGAGCCAGTACTTGGAGTCCGGGTGCTTGTTGACGAAGCAGTGGGCGAGCTTGAGGGAGGAGACGGGGTCGGCGGGGATCTTCTCAAGGTAGCCGAGGAGAGAGAAGCGAGGGAGGTTGGCGGCGGAGTAGGGGACCGTGTCGGGGAGAGCGGTGGCCGCGTCGGCGTCGGAGGAGCCAAAAATTCTGTTCTTGAGCGAGGAGAAGAGGGAGATGCGCTTCGCGGGCGGGAAGGGCGGGACCCAGTGCATGGAGAGGGAGATGTTGGAGCCGGCGCGGACGTTCTTGAAGGACGTGGCGATGGTGATGGCCAGGATGGTGGGGTTGCCCTCGTCCTCGCAGTCGGCGACGTAGTCCATGAGACCGATGGGCATGCCGGAGAGGTCACCGCCCGAGGCAGAGTGAGCGCCGGTCGGGAAGACGGTCGCGAGCTCGGCCAGCTTGGTCACGGCGAGAATGCGGCGGCCCATCACTGCGGACTCATATGAAGTCGGAATGCGGTTTACGTCGGCACCGCCCTCGGGGTTGGAGAGGAGGTGCTGCGGCATGCCTGGCTCGAGAACGGCGGTGGCCGCGGAGGCGGCTAGGCCGGCGAGGATGGCGGATGTCTTCATCTTGTTTTCAGGTCGGACGAAGAGAGGATGTATGGGACTGCTCTGACGGTACGCGAGAGAGAGGATGTAGAAGGATGAGGATCGGCCGGGGGTCGGGCGTGTGCGAGGTTTTGTAGCAAAGTCCTCACTTGAGGTGTGTGTGTGGTGTCTGTCGGTCGGTCGGTCGGTCGGATAGGGTGGGATCGATCGATCGTACGAGCTGTTCGTGGTGTGAGGCGGTCTCGGAAGGGTTAGGAGGTAGGGCCAAGATATTTGGGAGGGAACTATTGACAGCGAGCACGGCGGGGACAATGTCTTCTTTGGGGAGGTTTCTTCGGCGTTGGGGATGGATTGAAGAACAAAGAGGATGGGATGGATCCGCCTGGGCAAACACGAGTACTGCGTAGAGGAGTCCCCCGTCCAACAACGTCGGTAACAGTCAGGAGAACGAGTCGGGTTTCGTAACGGGCGAGGACGGGAGGTCGATCTGCAACGGTGGTGGGCTGGGGGTCAGTCAGAAGGTTAGGTTACCTCGCGTTGGGTTTAGCTGGGCAACTCCGCAAGAGAGGAGATGGGCGCATGTGATGTCTGGGATGAGACGCTTGGAAAGTGGCCCGGGGTTAGATCTGATAAGCCAAACGGCGTTTAGCGCGACAATGTCCAAGCCTGGCTCTATCCACTCCGAGCCATGCGGGCATGGGCAGGGCTACTGGCTGCTGTACGGATACGTAAGGTGAAATTTCAAGTGGCTTTTCCCGAAGTTGTGGGTTGGCGAAAGGCTGTCTGCCTACAGGCACCTGGGTTGCATGATCATCTCCGGCGTCTGGAGGTGAGCAGATGAGCACATGTTGGCGTTTGTAACTGTAATCCCAAGGCCAAAAGGCGAGGGAACGGGATGAACAGCCGCCAATGTCCAGGTCTTCGGCTCAGCATTCCAATGCTATCGGCTTATCTGAAGAGGGGAAACAGTGCATAATCCAGCTTTCTTGTGCTTCATACTGCCAAAACACACTGTACGAGTTTTTCTAAGGTGGGGGAAGGAGCGAAGGTCCAAAAGGGTACTCGAGTGAGTGAAGGTACACGATTAGATGGCAGGAGGCACCCACTTGTGCTATGGTTTTTCGGGAAGGAAGTACCGGTCGCTCTGGAAGGGTCTTCTCATTGCCAAGTGCTGATTGGTGCGCGCAACTTGTCCGTTCGCACCTCAAGTCAAGTCCCGTTCTCCAAAGGAAAGGCGTAGGTCACCTCACAAAGACGACCAAGACGGCAATTACAACACCAAAACGCAGAAAGACCCAAGCCCTTCGTCAGACATAGGTGCCAGCGACAATAGCGAAGGCGCGCCTTTCTGCACACAAATTCAGAGCATACTAAGCCAGGAGGGCGCTTCGCTCAAGACGAGGCATTTCATTTGCCCCTCACTCACTCAACTGTCCAGTATCGACTTGAACAAGGGTCTAAGGTGAGCCCAGTCTCCATTCTTGCCCCGCTGAAAATTCACTCTCAACTTCCTTAGCATCGAGGGACTTGGGCGTCCACAGGTAAGACCGACCAACGCGGGTCTTCAACACCAACGTGCTTACATTATCTAACGCCGACTTCTCATTAGGCCTCACAGCTGATTGCCATGGAAGAGGAGACCAATATGGCAACATGGAATGGTTTGCCTGTTGAGCTCAAGGGCCTCATTCTTGAGCACCTTGCCCATGGAGCTGTCGCCGAAAGACGCTCAAAAACATCAAAGTCAAAGAGCAAGCGTCATGACATGGGCAGCTATGCTGTCGTGTGTCAACAGTGGCAGAGATTCATAGAAAAGATCAACTTCAGCACTCTCGAGATCAGTTCTGCCAAGGATCTCTCTCGCTTTGATGAGATTCTTCAAGACCCCATCCGTCGCTCTTATCTGCGCCGCATCTCACTCCGCATTGAGCTGGCTAAGTATGCCAACAAGCTGGCCAAGGTTCCCGAGACAGACCATGAGCAGAACGAAAATGAGATTGCATTCACTCAAGGAATCTGGAACCTTTTCGACATCCTCAGCAAGTGGACGCCTTCAGGCCAGAGTATGGAGTTGGAGCTCAGCGCCGCTTCGCCCAGCGATAAGAACAAGTACTTTGGGGAGCTGGGCTTGGATCAGGACGGCAACTCACGCTTCTTCGACCACGACCTCGACTTTTGCTTCATCACTGCTGCCTGTGAGCAGGTCGGACGACACGGTCTCCCCGAGGTCTCGGTCATCAATAGCTGCCAGATTCTGCGCCGCAACCACCGCAACATCTCATCTCGAGCCTTGCTCAGCATTATCTCGAGTCTGCCCAAGCTCGAGGAAGTCCGATTCGAGCCCTGGCATCAAGTTGACTTGGAAGCACAGTTGGAAGTCGACTCCGGTACGTCCCTTCTGCCTCGCTGAGGTCGTGTGCAATAGCCCAATACTGATTGGCTCTCTCAGACTATGCCCGTACCTTCCCTTTCTGGCCTTCCCACATCAAGCGAATCAGCATCTTTGAGCATTTCGATGCTTTCAACAATGGCCCGGAAGCCGAATGGGAGGATGCGGAGTCTGTCGACGACAATGATGCGGATCCAACCGGCGGTGATATCGCTCTTCCCATTCCTACCGACAGTGCGGAAGAAGCGGGAGATGTTGCTCGAACCTCATGCCCCAGTCTTGGTCACAATTTGGGCTTCCTCAGCCTGCAAGCCGAGGAAATGGCCGTCTCGAACGTCTCTGACGCGACTGCTTTCTTTCAAGGTCTCCTCGCACGCAAGCCCGTCTGGAACAACCTCCGCCGACTTGCGCTTACCTCTCATACCATGATTGATGGTATCGACCACGAGACCGTCAACGGTATCCTTCGTTCGATCGCCAGCGCCGCAAAGCACATGCCAGCATTGCAGATGCTGGAAATTTACAAGACCGACCAGTTTGGAGGCGCCGTCTTCCGCTACTCCGTCGAGATATTGTCGACGACGGCATCGTGGGAGAGCACCTGGGACTTTCAGATCGGAGCCGATGTGAAGGCTGCGTGGGCTGAAGTGGCTAAGAAGAACACTCCCCACAACATCACCTTCCTTCCTGAGATTCGCCAGAGCGACTACCGAGGACCCTACGTATTCTTGGACGAGAACCTGAAGACGAAGGATCTCATCATCCACCCGGCGTCGTTGGAGGATATGCTGTCGAAGAAGTTGGATAAGTGCTTGGCCTGCAATGGGTACTGCGCCGATCCTAAGAGCGAGGAACAGATGGGTGAAATCAACAATGCTTGAGTAACTGAGCAAGGTCGATGTATACACACGAGAACATGTCTAGATACCCTGTAGAGTACGAACGTTGGACGGCTGCAAAGATGGATAACGGAAAAGTTGGCGTAAACGATAAGCAAACATTGTCAACCATTGGTTGTTTAGTACAATAGGTTCTTCAATCAGTCATTGCGAAATCACTATTAGCAGTCTGAGTCACCATAAGGGCACTCAGCTATGCCTCCTAATTTCGAGTGCCCACCAGCGCTACTGGCAGCGAATGTAGTTCTGCTCGTTCGCCGATGATTCATCTCCCCGGCGCCTCTGCGAAAGCTCAGACCACCGAGCGACAAGCGTGGCGCAGTTTGTTATGAGATTAACCCCTAAGGCCGAATTCTCGCCCGGACCACCTCTTCCGAATTGGGGCGGAGGCAAATGCGGGAAGGTGACTGGTTCAATACAAAAGAAAAGGCAAGCCCCCTCGCCCGCCCTGTTCCATCCCCACTCGCTACACGTGACGCACAGAATTACGAACCGAACCCCCAAAATTGTCCAGGCCCGCAACCCTCCCACGCAATCCGACGCCCATTGCCCGCGCAGAAGACGACAAGCCCGCTTCTCGATTCCATCGACAACCAACTCACCGAAACACCACAGCAGCAACTCAAACCGCCACAATGGGAAAGGTTCACGGATCGTTGGCGCGTGCCGGAAAGGTCAAGTCTCAGACGTAAGTCTTTTTTCTTCTCTTTGAGAACAGCAAACATCCCCGTGCATCTGGGAATCGAGGGTGGCAAACCGACGAAAACTTTGGTCACCACGGACGACGATGAGGGGGAACGCCGGTCGGGAAAGAGAAGGGAAAACAACGCCATTCAATCAACGAACTACGACGGGGAAACGCATTTTCTATCGAAACGAGAAACGACCGGGCGATGGACTACATTGTTTTTGATGATGAAATAACGAATCACGATCGCTGACCACTGCAATAGCCCTAAGGTTGAGCCCCAGGAGAAGAAGAAGACCCCCAAGGGCCGCGCGAAGAAGAGACTCACATACACCCGCCGTTTCGTCAACGTCACCCTCACCGGAGGCAAGCGCAAGGTACGCTCTAGACAACAACTCTCGACTATCGATGACCTCGGATGACTAACTTGACCTCCTCTGTAGATGAACCCCAACCCTACCGCCTAAGCGCTTTCTACTTCCCATATGCATTCGATACGACTCTAGGAACGTCTGGGCCACTGGCATGAGGGTGGAATCGACGGGACAATCAAGTTCAAGGGTGGTTGGCGAAAATGGTGAAATTTGGGACAAAATGCCGTCGTGGTTTCGGAAATCTTATCACGCCCCTCATATCCCTCCGGTTTCCCTCCGCCTGTCGACGGCTTGAGGAATCCCCTACCGGTGTGGTTTACTTGGGTCCTTCTGTGTATAGATTGATCTCTCCCGACCCGACGAAAGCATAAGAGACAAACGAATGCGTAATGCAGAATTCGTAAAAACTATTTGGTTTTTTTCTGGCATTCAAATCGGAAATGGGGAATCTCGCTTTATCTTTGAACTGTCTTTGTCAAACTTTGATGAGCGCTCGCCCGTGCTTGGGGAGAAATATACGGATGTTTCTTCTGCCATCTACATGATGACTACTCAGGGACTGCCGTGATGACGAAGTTTCGACAAGATTCCTCCCGAGCGGTGTCGCAAGCAAATTATTCCAACCAAACGCTGAGTGACAACAGAGCACAGGATTACGGATGTTTACTAGGCTGATGTCCAATTCACTGTCCGCTTGATTAAGTTGTCCACTAAATGATATCATCCGAGGCCGACCTTCAAAGGACCTACCTACCTAGACTTCATTCACACCCCCGAGCAAGACTCTGATAGGCAAAGGGGCTGACCATGGCAGCTCCTAGCCAAACCAGCGTAACAACCTCGCCCATCGTATTATAATATAAGTCAAGATATCAGGGAGTCCTAGCCATGCATCCCTTGCGATGTAGAGCTCGGGGCCATAACCTGACATCGGGCCGCTACAGACTGTTCGTGTCATCATGACGCTGTAGATATCCGCGCTCTGGTGGTTTTTTGGTCCGAGGAGCCCCTTATTTGAGCATATGCTCGACCCATCTTCGGCGTGCAATATTCGGAGCAGACCCAAAACAGGGGATTGTTGGCATCGAAGAAACTAGGGTACGGGCGTTGGCCACCTTACACCTCCGTCAAGCCGTATGTCGTCCCGGACAGTGTAGCCACGGCCTACACGGCTTTTGATGGAATGGAGACATTTCTCTTCGCTGCAAGACATCAGGACAGTGAGAATTTCCTCATCATGACGCTCCTTATATGAAGTCGATCCCTGTCCAGATTGGCACGTTCTCAGTAGTTGATGAAGGAGGAGTGTAGACTTGACTGAGGATCTGGGCACACGCACATACTGGCGTTGAAGCGTGAGAAGATGCTGAGAAACGACGAGGTTGTATCTCGAGCCGTTCTTGTACCGTGAAGCATGATACGGTGAAGTTTTGAACGGGGGTGAACTTGGAAAGAGGGGTGGAAAGAAGGTGCTAAACTTGTCGTACATCTCCTATCTCAGTACTAGGTAGGAAGTAATTCTTGGTACAATGCCTTTTCATGCCGTGACATCATATGATGCACTGTTACAGGTTATTTAGCACATGGCTTGTGATTCTCGTCTCCCGCCAGAGGGGATATCAACGTGGAATAGTCGAACACCAAAGCAACCCAATGAAGCGTTGATCAAGATGATTTTGAGCGAGGACTGCGCCAAGGGTCTAGAAAAGTAGAGTGGCAGAGAACGAACGCATCAGCATGCCCTTTCACGAACACCACCATCACAATCATTCCCTCCTTGCGCTTCGTGTATATTCTTCACGGAGTATCTTCGATGGGGTGGGATCAGATGCAAGTCGAACCTGCCGCCGTACGATGTATGCCCTATTTGTTTATTGCAATGCCAAACACATCATGGGAAGCCAACAACACGAATAAGCCCACCATGCCGCCGAATTAAAGCCCTAGTGCATTCGGATCCCCTAACAACAAGACATATTGTTGAGAAGCTCTCTGAGGTGATGGTTTCTTCACAGCCAGCCCCGGTTCTGCTGCACGGTTGTATATCTCGTTGCATCTTGCAGCTTAGCTGGTCCGTACCTTACTCAGGCTGACAACTCAGTCAAAAGGCATCCACGCCAGAAAGCCAAGTCACGAACCGGCACGGTGATATTCCATAATTTGTCACAGCTTCGCGAGCCTTGAAATATTTAGGGCTGGAATTGATATTCGAAAAACGTTCTGCTTGAAGGATGAGCTTCTCTTGACTTGAAATGTGTAAAGGACGCCTCCCAGGAGAGACGTCTGTTTACTACGAGACTGAGAGGCAGCCAACTCAAAAGCATGATCGGTTTGTTTGCTACATATTACGTTCACAAATAGGTCCTAGTTGCGGCGATTTACCTGTACTAGAATGAGTACCCCTGACGTCAACCCATCTCTCCCTATTTCCAAAACTTAGAGCTCTTCTCGATCTTTCCTCTTCCCCCATATTCAGCCTCTTTGGCACCAGGAGGACGTTTCAGGGAAGTTTGCTTGCAAGAAATCCACTGTCCAAGACTACTAAATGTTCTTGATGTGGCTTACAGTCAACGAAACCCTAGGCAGATCGACCACCGCCCACGACATCGGGGCTCAACACGACTCCTTCTACCTCAAAGACAATCTCACAAGTTGAAAATTTCATCCGAGATTATATGACCGATAATCTCATCCCGTATAGAATATTCACATCAATTTAGATCATGATAAAAACCTCACTGACACTGTGAAAGTATAGACGGTTACGCCTCCGGGACCCAGCCGATGCATGTTAGAAGTTCGGACAAATCACTTGCTGAGTAAGAAATGGAACCCTGGCTGCGGATTCAAGTCGACCAACGCTCAAGGACTCATCCTGATTTCAAGCCGCCAAACCCGCTGCCGCCTATGCCCGCCCAAGTGTCGTTCAACCCGGAACGACGCACGTGCCCCCACCCGGCCTCCGAGACGTCACCGGGGCCGTGGGATGTGGAGCCACACAGACGCATGCCGCTTAATTACCTGTGCCAGAGGCATCCCGCGTTGCTGTAGCGGGAGGCGTCATAACAGTTGCGAATGAGTACATTAACACAAGTCTATCCTCAAGAAGCACATTGGATGTTTCCCAGGCCATTTGTGACACAACGATAAGGCTGCTAAAACGCCAAATACTCATTCAAATAAATGTGGCTGCTATCGCTATGCCAATTCCCTTAACACCGACTCATGCCATGGATCACCCATTCGAGCCAACCTTCCATCACTCGCAAACTCAGCAATACCGCCATTTCCCGGCCAAGTCTCAGTATCTCGATAGATAAACAAACCCAATAACGCTCAGATAAAATACATTGCAAAACACTACGGCAAGTCTGAGCTCCCAGCCCGCGAAGGTCGCCCTGCTGCCCCCGAGCCAAGGTCCTGCAACAGGCTCCGTAAACTCTCGACCAAGGGTGGTAGAGGTTCAGAAACCACAGGAAAGTTGTTCCGGAAAATGTCTCTCGCAATCGATAGAACCACACTCGGGTTTGATAACGATTCTACGCCTTCAGCAGGGTTTCCATTGATTGTGAGACCAGGCACTCCGCGGTCAAGTTGAAGAAAGGCCCTCGTTTCCCGGTTTTCGTCCGCATCCATCAACGTGTATCCCGAAGTAGACCTGTTGTTGCTCAAGCCGTTGCTGATTTCTTGGTCGGAGCCGTGTCTGGATGCGGAACAGGACAGCAGCCCGTATGCCCAAAGCGTGAGACATGCGTAGTACACTGCGATGGCGTTGAACTCACGTAGCGAAGCAGGTGGAAGCTGGCGAGCATGGTGGAAAATCTGACCAGCATGCCATATCGCGTAACGTGCCTCAGATGTCTTTACCCAGCTGTCTTCCAGGCTGGTGAACGTCCTACGGGCCTCATCCTCTCCCGATTTGCCAGCAAACGTCTGCAAGATGTCGGGAGAAACGTGTAGTAGCATCATGAGGACCTCCGACATGACTGCAAGCTGAGCCGTGGGCCGTTTTGATGTGAGGATCATGGTTGAAAAGTCGTTCAGGTCTCGGTAGAGCTCTTGGTACTGTGTTTTGAGCCACAGACGGTGGGTCGCATTTCTCTTGCTCGAGAGACCGTCGGCATAGAACTTGATGGCTTCGCGATACGCCGCTATCTGACCCCAGTAGCCATGCAATAAGGCCATGTAGCACAATTCTGTGTCAACCAATTGCTCGAATTCGTCCAGAATTTCGGTACAGTGCATCACTTCTGACACACGGGGAATAATACGGTCTGGGGCTGCGTTGGTTTTGGCAACATACACATTCCTCCATTGCTCGGCGGATCGTGCCCTCCATAGATCTCGAGAAGCAGGAAGACTGAAGTTTAGTTCCGTGTAAGACATGAGTGGGTTTTTGCAGAATGAGATAGAAGTCTGGATGTCGTGAAAGAACATGTGCAAAACAAGGCGTTTGTAGGATTCACGCTTCGCAAATTTGCGCCACTTGGAGTCCAGGACCTCGGGGGAGTCTGCCATTGTTGGGATCATGGCCGATGAATCTGGTGGGGCCGAGAAGTTTCCCGCACGTCTGAGCATAGTCATTGGAGGCTGTAGAAAGCTCTCCGCGATCTCCATCTTTCGCTTGAAACCACTCCAGATGCCAATATCCAGGTTGAGCATGAATGCTTGGAGAGCCGCAAGATCCCGTGTGAAAGAGTTTGAGCTTTCGAACTTGGGCATGTTAGTAAGGCAGTCTGCTACTGAGCGGATGGTCAAGGGGGTTATGGGCTTACCAAGTCTGCCAGTCCAAGCCGCAGCACTTCATGGAGTGAGAACCCGAACTGCCACACCGCAGGAATGGATATATATGTAGCACCGCTGGATAGAATGCCAGCAAGCAGTTCTGGAATCGCAGCAGCAGCATCGAACGTCGCCAGATGGATCCAACTGTCACTCTGATGCTCATCATGAATGAAATGGGCTTGCACGAGATAATTTAGGAGATCCAAAGAAGGAAAAGATGGTGTGCGTGTGCGGCCGCCCTTTTGGACTGTGCTAGCCACCACCATGGCCAGGAGACTGTCCCTCGAGAGGGACGTCATCTTTAGCTTCGTGCCCGGAGTATTGATGAGTTTATCAAAAGCGGGAGAATTGGCAAATGTACCGTTGTCAAGGATGAGCTGCTCCTTATCCTGCGGCGAAGCATGATGCAGCGCGTAATCCTTTGGCCCCGGCTCCCAGAGCCAAGGCGACCGTTTGAAGGCCGCGTGTGCCTTTGACGCATTTCGTGTGTTGGATTTAGACCGGCTTGTTGTAGTAGATTCGGGGGTCTGATTAATCTCGGGTTGCGGAATGGTTATGGCGTCGAAGTTTAGGTCCCATGAGGAAAAGTCCATGTCTTGGAAGTACGTGTGTACTGGATTGAAGTTGACGATATCATCCATCACCATGTCCATAACAGGGTTCGAAAAGCCATCTTCCATGTAGGAGGATGCGTCCAGATCATGGCTCATATCGGGATTTGGTGGCATCATGACCAGTTTTGAAGCCGTATAAACGGAGCCAGTGTCCATGCTACCGTTCATGTCGACGCTCATGTGCAGTGTTGATGTCTCGGATGGGCTGGAGGCGCCGTCGATTGACGTTCGATGAGGATGTGTGCGCTTTGAGGGGACTTCACATGGTAAGTTCTTGGATCGACAGCGAGAGCATGGCTTAGCATCCTGAATGTGTGTCAGTCTTCTGGTACTCTGGCACAGAACTATAGTTTTTCCGGCCGGGGTTTACCTCGCATTTTGACTTGGAAGCGGCACAGTTCAAGCACGCCTCGGCGGCTCGATCACTCCTCCGTATGAAGGTTCTACCCTTGCCCGTGTTATCCCGGTCGTGGGTTGTCTCGTGGCGGGTGAGGAGGTCGGCTCTATTGAATCGCTTGGGGCAGCGGGAGCACTGGTAGGGACGAGCATTCTCATGAGAGCGTAGATGCCTCGTTAGATGATCGGCCCGCTCGTACACTCGCTTGCATATGTGGCATACATGTGTCGAAGAGGGAGATGTGTCGGATGTGCTCAGTTTGCGTTTCCCGAGCTGTTGGGGTAAAGGTTGGGCCGGTTGTTTCGGCAGTTCCGGCGGGGAATAGAGGGGGTTCAGCATGTCAGAGCCGGCGGCATCGCAAAGGATGTCGATGCCGTTCATGTTATGTTTGGCGAAGGGCGGGCGGAAGGGAGGATGTAGATGGGGCCGGCGGTTAGATTGAGTTGGAGTTGATGATGAGCTACAGAGGCTCTTTGCGCAAGTCTTGCGACGGCGGCGGCATCAGGGAATTGGGCACCGGGAAGTGGCGGGGGGGAAGTTTACCTTAGGACGGCAGCAAAGTGGAGCAAGCGAGCTCATATTCTGGGGGAAGGCCCGCGGTGGGCAGGGCAAGAAACACTGAACGGGCATGGCCGCATGGCGGGCACGGTAATTGGTATGTCGCGGCGGCCGGGGAAAGGTAGCTCTCCGCACATATTGGTATGGGAGGGTACTTTGCCCGACCTCGACGCTCATCTGTACCTTTTTGCGGGGTTTTAGGCCCAAACCTAAGACAACCTGGAAGGGTGGTAAATAAATACCTTACGCCAATGGGGACCAGAGCCGTTGGATTTTGCCTCGCCGTGGTTGGCTGCGGAACCGGAACAGATGGCCAGGCTGAAGGACGGGACGGGAGTGTGAGGTTGATGCTCGATGCGCTCGCACGTCGTCAAGAGTCTAAATCTGACTGACGGTTCGTTGCAACTCGTTGCATCCGTGGGCCTCACACACCACTCCGTGTCGAGTCGGCCCATGGCTGTTTCCTCCTTGTGGGGTCGACAAGCCTAGTTCATGAATACGAGGCGGTTGAGACAGGAATAAGGAACAATTCGAGAACAAATACCTGGGACACGCTGAGGATATTGGAATACGGATAGACAGCCCTGCGATTGACATATCTGATGCATTACTGGGCATCGAAGACCAAGAGTCATGATGGGCCAAGTTCAAGAAGAAACGACTCCATTTGATGGGGACAGGTCTTGCTAAAACTGAGCCGCAGTGACAACCTTTAAAGAGCAACGACATCCTGGAGCACTAGGATAGGTCAAGTACTAGCTCCGAAACGGGCTATTGGTGACTTCCACACTTCCCTACGGGCAGGACTGGAGTGATGATGACATCTATGCGAGATGGGTGACCCAGATTTATGACTTGTTTCTGCTAGTCATCTATCTTCTTTTGCTTTTCTCAGGTCAACAACTTCCCTTGACTGAAAACCACCTTGAGCTTCGAAATCTCTTGTTTGACAGTGAGTGCTGAGATTATCCCAGAGAGAGCCCATGGGTCCACTCCCGTTCCGTCCAGAGTGGTTGCGGACCGCAATGATAAGGTTTGCGCATCTGCTCAAGGTAGGTAGGTACAGTAGGAGGACCCTGGCGGAGATGGGCTCCGTTGCCATAAATAAAGGTGACGGGGAAAACAAATGAGATATTTGTCAGGGTCCTGGGTCCCATTCTTATCTGAGTGTAATTTGATGTTGTTGTCGTTCCTGACTTCCTCGAGGTGTTTTAACTTCAAGTAATGCTCGGCCTTTCTATCGTGCGTGATTTCCCCATGGCCCGACGTCTGGCAATCTTGGAAGCAGCGAATTGGCGTATCCACTCGGGGGTTGACAACTCGCGTGAATCTTGCTCACATTTCATAATTCACTTGAAGAATGAATGAAGAAGTTGCGATTGAGAGTGAGGCAGGCAGGTGGAGACCGGTGCTTCAGATCGGAAAGTGAGGGAGGAGCACATTCAAGACGCGGGCCAATCAGGCAGTTGATACACCAGACAGCAACTGCCTCTCGGGAACACCTGCGCCCCTTCCCAAGTTTCCCAGAGGTGCCGTGGAAAGAAGTTGTCAATTCTCAACTTCTCAACCCAAGGCAGCCTCAGTCAAACCTTGCTTTTTCTTCCCTTTCTTCCACCACTTTTGGCCGCCATTGCTTCTGTCACTTTTCCACTCCTTCATCCTCTTCGCAACTTCACAGTGCTGAAGCCAGACGTCCCCCCCCTCCGAAACTAACGGTGAACATTGCCAAGCATCGTCTCTTCACACCGGTGTAGTAGCTACCCTTCTTTTCCTCCTCTTCCTCGTCCATCTCAGCTTGCCGACCCCTGAACAAATCACCAGCGCTTGCAGACATACCCTGCCTCGTCATATGATGCACCCAATCAATACCTTACTCTACTCATCGCTGCGATTCAGTAAACCGATTCGATCTCCATTCTCCGCACAGCCTGGCGCTATCCAACCTGGTGGGAGTCCTCACCGCGCAACAAGTCCATGGCATCTAGGCCAGGACTACCCGTGCCGTCACATATGACGGTTTTGTATGTCTTACGATGCGAGACATGACCGCCCATACAATCCTCATCTTTCCCTTGCCAACCCAGGTACTGGCATCTCCCGCAAGGCGGCTTTTTAGGGCTCCGTCACGATCCGTCAGAGACCCGGCAACCCACACACTTGCCATCTCGCCCACAGTCATTCCTGAGAGCAAGACTTGCTGGGACGCTACGAAGCTAGGGACATGGACCTGGATCTCAGCTGGAATGCGCCTTCCTGGATGCCGGCCTGCTTTTTGACAGGCCTCTGAACTCCCTGTCGAGTCTTGCAGGACGTCCACTCGTGCGTCCTGCACGCCGTTTGGTGTAACAAGTCTGACCCGGCTTGCAATTCCAAGCTACCTTACAGCTGTGTGTGTCAGTGGAACCGTGGGATCGGGACCGATTGGGCTGATAGGGGACCTGATCGCAACATAACCACCTGAACCCACGCAACGCCGAGGTCCGCCATGCATCACCGCTGTTTCCGTCCTCCACGCCGACCTCCCATCCCCGTTGTAGCCCGTCGGTCCGCAGCTACAGACACAGCTATGAGGACCCGCGCCGCAACCCATAAACGACTTGTCATCATTCAAAGGCCTGCACGAGATGCAGCTCGCAACCTTATGCTGAATATGGTCATTAGAATCGCCCTCACCTGCCAGGTTTTGATCCAACGCGATACTCTGTTCAGAGAGACTGCTACCTTAATCCGCACTGGATATCCAGTGCCAAAGTACCTCTTTGCTTTTCGACTCATCGTCTCTTTCCCCTTTCCAACTGCGATACCACCTCGATCTTGACCGATACACACCTCAGGGGATCGGTTTTCCCCCATGCAGCGACAGGCATTGCTGTGCCCATTCGTCGCAAAAACGGGCTCAGCAGCAGCCAATACCATACTCCCGGTGTTATCTCCGAGCAAGCCACCTCCCGCGTCCCGTCCGGCACTCTGTCGCGATCGGGGCCATGCGATGCGCTCCAGTCCATACAGGTGTCGCCGGTCTGTATCTAATACTCCGTTCTTAGTTCCGAGATCGAGTGTGGAACCTGTACCAAGGTACACACCACTCGAGTCCCGTCGCCATATCCATACCTCCTCTTACATCGATTCCGATTCGAAACAGGCAAGGTTCAAACGAGTTGCGGAAACGAACAAAGAACATGTATGGTGTCTGATTGAAGCATGTAGGCCGAAAGCGGCTACCATTACATTTCCAAACTCCCCCTCCAAGCCCGAAGCCCAAGCGCCAGTTGGTTTGCCCATGTTGTTCTTACCCCTCTGTTCATCCATCTCCCGCCCATTCTACCCCTCCAACTGTACATTCCGATCTGAAAATCGGACAGACATGGCTCGTTAACATTACAGGGCCAGTACCCAGATTGGCCCACTCATCGATTTTGATCTGCCCCTTTTTCCATTCCCTCCAATAAACCCAGAAAATGACGAAAAAAAAGGATGAAAAGAATTCCTCGTAATCGAACAAGCACAACCCCCTTTGGTCATCTCATTCTCGCTCCTCACACACAACCCCTCAATCTATAGCCCTTGTGTGTCGCCATTCGCCGTTGTCCCGGGGTATCGTAATTGTTTCGGTGGTTCCCAATATCGCATCGCAGTCCCAGCTTTATGACTCTTGATCGGGGGATTCAGTGCTGTACAAGAGTTAGCCTCACCGCCACATGTTGCAATGACGCGGGAAGAAGTTGGAGAACTCACATGAGCTGTCTTAGCCGCAGGGGGTGCCGCAGTAGCCGCACTCTTTTCCGGGTAGTACCCACACCTCTTTACCTGAGGCATGGCACGTAGGGCAGCGAATGCCTGGGAGAAGGTGCTGAGAAAAGAGAGTTAATTCGGGCCCTGTGTGGACGTGGGGTGCAGCCATGCACACTCACCTGTTTCGAGCCGCTCTTGGTGGACGACGATGGCTTCTGCTGGTTTCGGAAAGCGGTCTTGTCGACCTGGCAGTGGTTTGAGCAGACCATGTTGGCGAGATGTGATGGCGAACTTGGTTGGTTGTTGTGTGGTTCGTAGGATCTGGAATCGAAAAGGTGTGGTGGGGGTTGGCTGGCAGGCAGGCACTCGAAGTCGATGTTTGAAGTTGGTGTGGCGTCAAGCTGATGTCCTTTGACCTGTAAAATGTCCGATGATGGCGATCTGGACAAGGCGAGAGAACTCAAGGCGGCAACCGTCGATACTTATAGTTTGGCAGATTCCTTTGAAATCGCACGACAAGGACAAAGCACTCGCTAGCTGGGCCGTCGAGATGGGCAAGGACCAGGTAGGCACATCGAGGGAGACTTGCTCAAGGCGGGAGCGGGTGTTCCAAGTCCCTGTTCTGGTTACTAGTGCAAGAAGAAAATATGGCAGTGCCATCTGATAATAATCAAATCGGCGAGCAACCGGCGGAAGGCCGCCAGCAGAAAGTAGCAAGCAGCAAAAGAAACCAAACAGGCCGGTAGACCGGTACAGTGCAGATGGCACATATCACATTCTGGTGCGGGACTAGCAGAGACCCGGAGGCGTATCAGTGGCAGTTCAGCGATGAACGACGGTGGCGCGAACCAGGTTGCCAGGATAGGCATGGGCAAGGATTTGAATTCGATGGGGGATGTGGATGGATCCTTGGATCACTCTGTTCGAGGGGACAAGGTGGGGTGGACCAGGCCCCATGGTGATGGCTGAAGAATTGTTCATCGGGAACGACCGTAAGGTAGGTACTCGTTTGTATGTGTGTGTGTGTGCTTGGTGTGTGTATGTGTAGTGTGTGAGCATAGTTGCGTGTACATGCATCCGGGTGTCTCTGTTTCCTTTTCTTTGGGCTGTCTGTCTGTCTGCCTGCCTGTCTGTATGTATGTTTCCTTGGCTTGGCAGGACTAGGTAGATCTTTGGGGGGGGGGGGGGGGGGGGTTAAGGAAAAGAGAAGGGGGGATCGGGAGTTTGTGTGCGAGATGGTACTTTGCTCTACGGAAAACCAAAAAGCCATTCTTTTACTCTCATTTTCATTTTCCCTTGGTCGGGTCGTGGACTCGTGGTAAGACAAGACAGAGCCGAACCAGCTCAAGCATGAAAACCATGAAAGCTATGCCCTTCCGAGTCTCCAAACGGGGGACACGGCTCGGGCTTGCTGAGGCACGTTGCAACTCGCGGCTGGCGGCGGCTCCTCCGGGTGGTGTAAGGGAACGGACGGACGGAGGTAAAAAAGAGGTTGGCTGAATATTTGTTTTGTTTTGTTCTACCATGTTACTTCTTCGTTTTTTCTTAACTCCCGGATCCTCCTTGTTGGAATTAGATACCTTACCAGGGCACTCACAACATGGGAAGTAATGGAAAGAAAGGTGAGGCAGAGCGCTATGATGCCAACTGCTCATTCTTTTCTACGGATACCACACACACACACACCTCCCAGGGCTTTCTCTCTCAAAACCTTGTAAATCCGGATGCTCCCACCCTCTCCTCCCCAATCCTAATCCCAATTCCCCCCATGCCTCCCGGGGTTGCTCATTGGCCCCTGGCGGGCAGTCGATCGCGAGGCTAGTGCAGGCAGGGGTATTCGAGCAGGGAGCGAGCAGAAGAATAACCCAGATGAGTGGATGTTCCAGAGTTCTGTTCGATCTGCCCCGGGATTCCGCGCCGGGGAATTCCTTCTCTGGCTGTGACTTTGCAGCCAAAGTTGCAGCGAAGAAAGAGAGGAGTCGATTATGTAGGCACCTGGCAAGGTCTTAGTGTAGGCAGTGAAGCGCAAGGTAAGGTATCTTTCATGAAAGAGACCACCCCTGGTCATGGGCCCCTCCCCTCCCCATATCTTTTCTTTCGCTCTCTCTCTCTCTCTCTCCCAGTAACGCACGTATGAGCGGAGAAAGAAAGATTTTTGGGAAACTCTGTAATAGTGTAACCGTATACACTTCATACAATGACCCATGTTATTCCATGGGAGTAGACCCTCCCCGTGGATTCCTTTACTTTGAACTGCAAGTATCCGTGGCCAACGGGAAAACCCTGCAGAATTGTCGCCAACCCACCCCCTTCCAGAGCCGACGTGGAGGCTCAAACGGCTCTCTGGGCCCCCTCCCCTCCTTCTCTAAAGATACTCTCTTACCATGGTTCTTCTTCTTCCCTAGTGCTTCCTTTTTTGGGTGGTTTAGAGGGGAGATCGGTTCTGGAACTCCACACTCGCGATGGGGGTATGACGAAACAACCAACGAAAGCGAGAACGCGACTTTGCTTTGGTTTGGTACTAAGGGTGTAGCTCGGACAATATTTGAAATTTGACCTTTTTTTTTTTCTTTCTTACTTACCTTGTGTAGAGAAACATGGCAAGTTCAGGTAAGGGAGGAGGAGGGGGAGGGGCGGAAAAGAAAAGGCGTCG